TTCTTCTTCTGCATTCTACTGTACAGACGTAAATTTACTTTCCCTTCAGCCTGAGGCTTATTCATTTCACTTTTGGTGTGAAAAGGCTTTTATATTTGCCAAAAATAGTTATTTTAAAATCAAACAAGCAACCCCTGTCCAGATTTAAAAAGTAATGCAAAAGTAACATAACGCATTACTTTCCATAAAAAGTAACTAAGTAATGTAATTAGTTACTTTTTTATGGAGTAACGCAATATTGTAATGCATTACTTTTAAAAGTAACTTTCCCCAACACTGATTATAACCGCACTTATTTTATGCCTCAAATGTCCCTTGCATTAGTATAAAACACATGTGCATACCATTTTTGAACAAGACAGCAACCAAGTTGAGAAAGATCGGGAAAATCATTGCAATATGGTCTGGGTTTCCTGACATAACATGGCACATCAAGCTGTTTAAATAATCTGATTTATGTCATTTGTTAGTTATTGATGAAGTAACTTCATTCTTCCACAACATTTCCACTCACCCGCTTTACATCTTTTCCAAACGTCTCACTGTAACTGGTCCCTAGGATCTCAAACTGGACATGAGAGTTCGCTCCATTGCTTCGGAAGTCCATTAAACCAGTAAGCCCAGAAATCCGCCCCTGAAAAGAATGACAAATACAACTTCTGTTCAGAAAGAGATACATCATTTAAACCAGACCAGTTTTGTTGAATGCTACTGAACTTCAGCAGGCTGAATTGAAGAAAATTGAACCAGATCAAATTAAGCATAAGTGAGATGAATTGTACTTTAGTGACTTTAGACCTTTTGGATTGTGTCTAGCATGGACCAGCCTCCATTCCAGGGTTTGGTTGACTTCCTCATGCAGTTCAGACTGGCCATGCTGTGCCACTTCCTGTCCTCTAATTTCCGGTAGAAGGCATTGGCCAACATCAGCACACTGTCGTACAAGTACAGGCTAGACACCTAGAGACATAAACAACAAACAAATGCTGTGATTACTTTACATGCACATCATACACTTAATAACCTGACAATGTATAAAGTCATGTAAACACCTTAAAGGAATAGTTCTCCCAAAAATGAAAATTATTTTATCATTTACTCACCCTCATGTATGACTTTCTTGACACTCCAGTCCAGTAGGTGGCAAAAATGTTAACCCACTTCTTCTCATGTTTTAATTGCATATCAACTTTTAAAAAATGTAACTTCCGCCACCTACCAGACTGGAGTGTGAAGTGCTGGATGGTACAAATGAAAGCAGAAATTTACTACACAATTTAATCTTCAGACCTGATCCAATCAAATACATTTTTCATGACATGTTCTCCTTTTGAGCTCTGCAAAAGATAGAGTCATACAGGTTTGGAACAACGTAAGAGTGAGAAAATGGTGTCAGCAGTTCAATTTTACGGTATTATATCAGTTGTAAAGATCCTAAATGGTTTATGCACAATCCAATCAGCACTTACATTTTTTTCTTTATATTACAGTTTATGATTTGTGTGGATATCCATTTAGTAATTGACAAAAAAAATAAATAAAATAAAATAAATAAATAAATAAATAAATAGAATAGAATTGAATCATATAAGCATGTTTTTCTTGACTTTGTCAGGTTTTTATAATAATAGTTATCAGTGTTGTACATGTCAACACATTCAATCCCTAATAAAGGCATCTACGCTAGAGTTTACATGAGAGAACAATGCAAATCCTTTGACTTTGATGTGAATGGTGCATTATAATGGGTTTCTGAAAGTGACACTTCATCATGAAACCAAAGCATCCACTGACTAATGAAAGGTCCTGTTGTACTTTCAGAAATCCATTTCGGATAACTACTTGATTGCAAATTAAAATGGCTCTTTTCACAACCTCTAAAAAAACAATCTTGTGCATTGCTGTCTGTCAAATGCTCTGTCAGTTTCTCCAAGTGTGTAGGTGGCCGAAGCCTAAAAGTAGGGATGCACCGATACCGATACTAGTATCGTATCGGGCCCGATACTGAGCTCCTGTACTCGTACTCGTACTCGTTAAAATGCCCCGATACCAAACGCCGATGTCACACAGCATGAGATAAGTGCCATATTCAGACAAAGAAACACCGAACACAGAATAGACAGCAGAATTGAGTTATTAGAGATTAAGGATGTCTACGAAGTATATGTATGCAATGAATATAATGTTAAACATTCAGTATTAACGCCTGTATAGCTGATGTGCGCGAGCTGATAAGCAAAGCACGCTGAGTGGATTGAGCGCGCGGCGACACAGATGCGCGAGCTTGTCGAGTGAATATATCTTTCTCACAGACATCACTGGAAAGTTTGAATTCGGTCAGATATGTCAAAAACAAGTAAGTAAAACAATGCACAAGTTACTTAACGGTAGGGAGAGAGAGAGAACGAGAGAGAGCGCACGCACTTCTGTTGTGTGATCTTTGATGTTCACTCACTTAGCACACACATCATTTGGATTAAAACTAAATCATAAAAATAAGACCATTTATATGGGCATTCACTATAAACATCATTTATTTTCAGCCTTAGGCATACACGACTTTCTGGCGAAAGTGAATCTAGCAGCCTGTGTGAAATGCGCTAGGCTGTAGTTGAGGTTTTCATGAAGCTGGGTGACAGCATGCCCAGGAGACTACATGCTGTCATTAAGGCTAAGGGTCACCCGACAAATTATTTATAGTTGTGTAAATACTGTCATACTAACAGCTGTCTGAATAATTTTTGGTTGATTGTAATCCATTACATACCTTTCTATTAAAGTTATCTAACATTATCAAGCTGAATTTGTTCTGACACAGTTTAACTCTGAGTTCTTGTCATATTTTATTACCATTTTCTAAACTATAGCGAATAAACTGTGATAATGTGAGAAATGTTGAAGGTGTCTAAATAAATTTTAGTGTGACTGTATCTATTTGATAAATGAAGTTAACCAACTAATATTATACATACTCTTTTGATTTCTGTACCCAATACTTTAAACATTTTACAAATGCAATAAAAATATCAGTATCTGTACTCGGTATCGGCAAGTACCAAAAATAAAAGTATCGGTATCGGGTGAGTACTGGAAAAAGTGGTATCGGTGCGTCCCTACCTAAAAGATTAAAAAAAGTAACTGAATATTACATTTAGCCATGTACTAAAATTGTTCTCTAAGTTTGTGAAAGACAGATTGCGTGTGTGAATGTGTCTGCTGACTCCCTCTTTGAGACCAAGGAGACCCTCTTTGAGAGCAAGAGGAAAAGAAAGAGCGCTGCAGGAGATTTTTGCATGGCTCTGCTCCTGCAGAGAGCAGCTATCATGCTGAGAGACACCTGGAGAGAGAAAAGACCTGAACAACAGCGCTGTTATCGTCAAGGAGACGAGAGTCTGAGGCCGCACGGCCAAACTCAATGTCCCCTCAGACATGTGATCCTGACAAAACAACACACTTATGAGCAGATCAATGTGGAGAGAGAGAGAGAGAATGAAGGCGTGACTGAGTGAGGAAAGAATGTAAGTGGGGGATGCTGGGAGGAATAAAAAACGTCATTTTACAATGAAGATTACATATTCATCCACTCTCCTTAATAGCTGTCTACAAGACAGAAGAAAGAGCTTCACTCCTGCTGGAGCCAAGACTGCACCCAAACTCTTTTTTTCCAAACCCTTGACCCTTTTCAAATACAAGAAGGAAGGCAAACAGGAATGAATTTGTCTGCCTTCATCCAGTTTGCATCCCTGCTAAGGTTGACAACAGGCCATTATAATACAGAATCATTCTGTATTTAAAGGAAAAGAATTGCATTCAATTTTAAATATGACATGCAGTTTGTCCTTTATTTTAGCATATTGCACCCAATCAACAAAGAGCACTTGTTGCATTTTCTACTGCGTCTATATATTCAGTTTCAAGTGTCAGTGTTAAAAGATAGAAATTGGAATAGAAAGCAAACCAGTAAAGATAGATGTGAAATGATGAGTTCGCTTTTTATGTCAAAGGTACACAATAAAGCCAATCAATACAATTGTAGTGAACTGCACTGGTATTCACTTGATTTATTTTCATTAAAGTCACCATGAAATTAAAATTGTAAATGCTATTTTTATGCAACATTGGAGTGTTTATTATAAATAATTTATCTGTCAACATCATATTTTTTTTTTAAACAAAGTCATATGCTCTCATAATCTTTAATCAAAAACATGCAGTAATAAAGCAAAAGACAATGATCAAAATAATTCTTGGTGGACAAAATCAAGTTCTATCATACAATTTTCTGATTCAAGAAGTCATTTCACTTATATATAAGAAAAGACAAATCGCAATTCCCTTTTTCATGATGATTTTGAATAATTTTGGCCTCTGTATCACCAGTTGTGGTTGAAGCAAAATTTCACTTGTTTTGTGAATCTGGGTAAAGCTGATGACATGTTTTTTTAACACAGATTTTGGTCCCACTTTATTTTAGGGACCAATTCTCACTATTAACTAACAATTAACTACAACTTTTTCCTCAATAAACTCCTAATTTGCTTCTTATTAAGAGTTACTAAAGTAGTTGTTAAGTTTAGAGTAGGATCTAAAGGGATCTAAAATATGGCCATGCAGAATAAGGCATTAATATTTGCTTTTTAAATACTAATAAACAGTCAATAAGCTAGCAATATGCATGCTAATAAGCAACTAATTAATAATGAAATTGGTCTCTAAACTAAAGTGTTGTCCTGATTTTTTTATGTACTCACAATAATGTTAATTACTTTACTAAAAATCTTAGTCTGCATAATGAAGCTGTCTAAATACAAAGCAGTTAAAACTTTAATATGTTCATGTTGAGATATTTATGTACAGCGTTATGGTTGTTTTCTCTAAAGAGCTAAAATGTGCCTAAGCAGAAGATAAACTGACATATATGTTATGGAATGTGACACAATTTAAAAATAGTTTAGTTTTACAACAGATGCAATGACGTTGTAAGCCAAAATCAAAGGAATTGCATCTCAAAAGCATTTTTAGCACTTAATTCAGTCAAGCAGAACTGTATACACAGATATAGCTACATGCGTACAGCTGTGACTGTTTCATTTCAGTTTATTACATGGTCAGCTTGCCACCAATGCTTTACTGAAATCTTAAGTGCCATATGTGGTATAAAGAAATGGAGAGCATTACTTATTTGCTCTGCTGAAGTTGGCAACCCTATCAACAACCCTTCTCACACTTCAGTCATGGTCGTCTGGGTTTACAGCCGAGGCACGATCTGTTTGCTCATGTAAGAGTTATGTGAATGCAGAAAATGCTAATGTGCCCGTGACATAAGATCACATGGTTTTGACCTCTAAGGCTCCTCATTTGTCCGCTAAATGGTGAAGTGACTTCAGAACGCCCTGCCAGATGTTCTATTAGTCAGACATATCCTTGACATGGATTCAAGGCTTTGAAAGACTTGCAAGACTGTGGATGTATGAGTCAAAGCATTTTCCGGCCGCAAGTGAGAAAATATGCTATCGGTTTTAACCGATGTAAAGCAAAGTCTCACACAGTTACAATAACATGAATCGGTGGCTTCACTTCCCTGTGTGCTTCTGTGTGACTGTGAGCTAGATGAAATGATTCCTAACACAGTGTTGAATGACTTGTTTTAAAATAAAGCATGTTCCTCACTAAGAACTGCTGATACCAGGGTGATCAGGATGTTCTTGTGCAATACATTGAAAACTGACTTTCAATTTAGGCTACTAAGAGTCTATAAGAAAGCTATCTGTTAGCATTCACACTTATCTCAATGTCAGTTGCTCAGCTGGCACAGGCACATGCACATGGAAGTACATGATTATAAATCAGATCATTTTCTCATGGGCTTCTTGATTTATTCTCCTGCTCTGTAAATATCATGTCACTAAACACTCTGGAGGTGCAGGAGAATGACAAAGAATGAAATAAAGAAAAATATATAAATGTATTATTTTATTTGATATAAAATACACTACCATTTCCAAAGATTATTTAGTGTTTGTGAGTCTTATGCTCACCAAAGCTGCCTTTGTGTTAAAAAAAAAAAAAAAGTAATATTGTGAAATGTTATTACCATTTTAAATAATTTTCTTTATTTTAATATATTTTAAAATGTAATTTATCCCTGTGATGGCAAAGCTGGATTTTTAGCAGCCATTACTTCAGTCTTTAGTGTCACATGATCGGTCAGAAATAATTTTAATACGTGGATTTGATGCTCAAGGAACATTTCTTATCATTAAAAATGCTGAAAACAGTTGTACTGCTGATCATTTTTGTGGAAACTGTGATTAACTTTTTTGGGATTCTTTACTGTCAATATTGATGAATTTAATTTAATGTGTCCCTGCTAAGGAAAAGTATTAATTTCTTTAAAAAACTAAAATCAATAAAAATTATTGACCCCAAACTTTGAACATTGCAAATAAGTATTTTAAATGTTACTTACAAAAAACTATTTTTTCAGAATTTACAGCTACCTTTGAAAGGCTGTGAATTAAAAAAAATAAAAAAACAGCCAAACTTTCCTTGATCATTGATCCTTGCATGTTTATAGCCTTTCTTAGCATTGTATTTGCTTGTAGAAAAAAATCCATCCATAACAAAACAACTGCCAGTTGCTGTACTAAACATCTAGTAGTAAACATTTTGAGTGTGCAACAATTTCGATGACACAAGCTTTAAATCTGAATGAACAAAACAAAACAACAAAATTAGGACATCAATTAGACAGATAAAAGCACGCCACCCACTGAGCTTTTATTCAGCATTGCGTGAACTGTCAGCATGGCGCGTAGAGACCCGTGGCCCGAGGGCTCGGAATCACAATGCTGCAACTTCTTGAGTTAATTAAAACTAATCTGCCACAGCACAGATTCAATCTCTTACTCTTCAACTTTCAGTGTATCGTTAGCACCAATTGAGGGGCGAGAGGCATCCCTGTGGCTCCTAACATCTCGCACATCTCCTCATCCTTTCTGTAAAGAACTCATTTGTCCTGTTGTGGTGCTGCTTTGGCATTAGCTGGTACGTAACCCCCTTTATTCATGAATTATTGAGACAGTGAGCCCCAGAGAAAAGACACATGGATTTGCCATCTGCTCTAAAAAAAGGAAAATGGATTCTAAGACCCAAACAAGGTTTTCATAGAGCCAGACACAGATACAGTGTTTTAATGTTGTGTAAGGGAGAGGGAACGTTTTCATAATTACAGTGTACCGTCTGTGACTTAACAAGATAATATTTGTTAACGGGTAAAAGCATCAGGGCACAGGCACCTAATCTGAATCAGTCGTGCATAACCTTGTTTTGAATTAAGATTCTAGAGAAATGAAGCGATACAACAAAGAAAATAAACATGACAGTTACTGCAGTCATTATGCAGCCTTGCAGATACTTCCAAACCGCAAATGCAAAGCTATAATGAAAAGACAATTATAGATAAATTCAGACTTGAACTATTGGAGTAAATCTCACTAACACAGTGCAATGAACTCTTTTGCTGCAAGAAAGCAGCTGTCATGTATCTTAATTGTGCTATGAATACAAAATAACCTTTAGTAAAAGGCCACAGAATTGAGATTTCTAGTTGTAAATCATTCTGGTTTTAGCAGCTTATCATCGTCTCGCACAGCTAGCACTTCTGGTCTACAGACTGTCTGAAGCAACTGACTAAAGTCGGTTTGGTTTTGTTTTAATGTGCTCATTGCAGGTATATCTGAAATAGATTATACCACAAAAATAGGCCATCTGATGCTGAAACTGCACTAAAATGACCTGAACTGACCTTGACCTGCAGATCTATTTCTGATGAATGAATGTGAATTCAGTGCGCTCTGAAAAAACGTTGCTAAGAAACGTACCTCTAGAGACTGCAGGTACCCTTCCTGTGGGTCGCAAAGCAGTGAGGAGATGCGATGGTTGTTCCTCATGCAGCGGATGTTGGTGTCCCTCCACAGGGGGAAGATCTGCCGGATCACTGTCATCCGGCCCAGAGCGCTGTGGACAAGCTCCATGATCTCTGTGTCACTAACCTCCTACACTCAGAGACAGACATACACACATACACAAAGGTGTAAAGTGTGAAAACAGACATATTAAAACCTACTGTCACAAAAAAGGGCAACACTTTATAATAAAGTTCATTTGTAAGTCATTTATAAGTGATAAGTTAATGATGAACTAATCATTTACAAAACATAACTATGTGTTCATAAATGATTAATAAGTGGTATGTTAATATTTTATCTATGTTTTGTAGACTAAGTTATAAATCATTTACAAGTGATTAGATAATGATGAACTAATCATTTACAAAAGTGTAAATGACTTTACGTTCACAAATGATTATTAAGTAATATGCTAACGATTTACAAATCTGTCATAAGTTATCTTTAAAAAATAGCATATCATGAAATAATCAAACAGATCCTTAGTATATGGTTAACAAGTTACTAGTTAATATATTATTAATCACTTATTGAAATGTCAACATTGTACTATTATCTCAGTGTTAAAAAGACTCCACGTGTATCAGAGAAGACATCTGTCTACACCCTCACCAGTCAGCCCTTGCATTGCAGTACACACTACACAGTATTCAAAACCTGTTTTGTAAATGCATGAATAAATAATTTACAAAGCTTTCTGCATCCCCTAATCTAAAGAGTAAACTATTCATCACTTGTAAATGTGTTACACATAATTTGTAGCTTTTTCTAACCTGTTACAAATGATCTGTAGGTGTATACAAGGCATTTACAACACTTTCTGCATCCCCTAATCTAAAGTGTAAACTACTCATCAGTTGTAAATAGGATCGAGTCAGCTAGAAACACCAAGGGTTCACACAAAACAAGGGGAGTCTGCTTTTAGCTATTACAGAATGCCGCCCGCAGCTGGAACCAGCTTCCAGAAGAGATCAGATGTGCTAAAACATTAGCCACATTTAAATCCAGACTCAAAACTCATATGTTTAGCTATGCATTTATTGAATGAGCACTGTGCTTTGTCCGAACTGATTGCACTGTATTTTATATATAATCATTTTCTATTTTTAACTGTTTTAAATTCATTTTAAATCAATTTTTAAATAATTTTAAAAGTTTTTAAATTCCTTGTTTTATTGTTGAGATTATTTTTTATGATTATTTTACTTCCTTTTATGTAAAGCACTTTGAATTACCATTGTGTATGAAATGTGCTATATAAATAAACCTGCCTTGCCTTGCCTAAAAAATAAAAATAGCTTTGTCATTTACACACTCTCATGTCTTTAGAAACCTGTATGACTTTCTGGCTTGCCTTTCTCAGTACAATGAAAGTGAACAGTGACCAAGATGTTCAAGCAAGATTATTAAAGTGATATTTCCAGTGAATGACAGCCTGCATTATTTCTCATAACAAGCTATTATATGGGATCAGAATATTAGATATATAAGAGTCATATGGATGATGCTTGTATGCTGCATTTTAGTGAGCAAGCTTGATAACCCTTGGCCTTCATTTACTTTCATTGTAAAAAAGAGAGCAGACATTCATTTTGTTTTTGAGTCACTTTCACTTTATCACTTTAACCATATTACACAATTTAAGACAATTTTTTATATAATACTGGTCAAAACAAGAATCTTTTTAAACATTGCAAGTGTCTTTACTGTCACTTTTGATCAATTTAATATATCCTTGCTGTAAAAAAAAAAGAAATAATTAATTTCTTTTAGAAATGCAATTCTGCATTACAGCATGCCTAAACAGTTCCTCTATTTTCTAAGAAACAACGCAGGACTTAGAAATGAGCTTTTGACTCACTGACCTTTATAAATGGAGTACATTCAGGTCATACAATGACTTTGATCTTACAAAATATCTTTCTATAATCTTGGAAGCAGTCTAAATGCTGGTGTTTGGACAAAAAAAGAAAAAGAAAAAAAAAAGGTAGCAGGAGAATATACAGAGATCACAGTGCTGAGATGACTCACAGTGTGGAATGCTGGGAGTTCATAAGCAACCTCCAAACACATTAAATCAAAACAGGCCAGCCCACCATATAAATGATCTCTGATACACATCCCTGGTGAAGGTATTAATTATTAATTTATTCATGACTATAAAACATTTTACTGATCAACTGATCAAGGTGATATTAAGCAGAGTCAGGACTTCTGATGTCACTGTCTCTAATTAAATCACTGCAGATGTTTGAATCCCTGAACATACTGCATGAAATCTGTCATTTAATTAAACTTCAAGCGCTTGTGAAAGTAAAAGAATATTCTGACATCTATTAATGGTCATAACCCCTGAAAATAACTGAAGATACATCTGTACAGGAGCTTGGGCTTAATGAAGCGATGACATTACAGGGAAAACAAATTAAACCCCCCATGTTTCATTTCAATTATTTCCAGTAAAATTATTTATTTATCATCCTTGTTATGTTAATCATTCATTTGGAACTGGACTTTGTGTTCTAAACACTAATAAACAAAGTCCAGTTCAAAATGAATGAACTTTACCAGACGTTCTGCCATGACCTTGATGGATGAAAACTGCAGAGGCTTAATTTGTGTTCTTTGGTGTTGTGGTGACCTTCATGTCGGCTTTGTGTCAAGGCACAAGCAAATTACTCAGCTTCAATTCAGAATAAGAGATAGACAGAAGCATCACAGCAATGTGACTCAGTGAACATTTAAACCTTTCCTGCCTCGAGGTAATGCATCGCGAGTTTCTCTCTTTTACCATTTCTAGGTTGAATGTGACTGTGCTTTAATTTGATCACACGGAAACCTGACTATGCAAATGAGCAAATATGAAATGAGGAGAGCTGAAAACAGGATTAGGATTAGAGACACATATTAAAAAACAAAACCACTACAGTAAAAGAGCCCTATATAATTTACATACGTTAGAACATTTACATTTCACGTCTAGTAACTAAGAGTGCACGTACTGTATATCGTTACAGTCAATTTTATGAGAAGTGCACTCTTGTGAGAAAATTACCTTTTTTTTTTTTTTTATACTTTTTTTTTTCCAATCTTGAAAAGTGTGTGCTGATTGAAGTGGAGCATGACAGCATGTTTTGGATGCTCTTTATGGAATAAGTGGGCAGATCCTATGACTTAATGTCTCATATGCCTGAAGCAAGTTTAGTCAGCACGATACAGGGTCATATACTAGAAGAGAGAGAAAAAGACAGAGAGATGCACTACATGGCCTGACGTGGCCATCCCCTACGGAATAGCAGGTTTTGCTAAACCTATTTCAAGAAAGTGCATAAAATTAATGCAGTCTTCATAGACAAACACACATACCTGCAGCCATTTTCCAAAAATGAAACATAATTTGGTCACCTTCATGTCTTTCCAAACCTGTATGACTTTTTGCTCCAGTGGAACACAAAAGGAGATGCTTAGCTAAATGTCTAAGCTTTTTTCATACAGTGAAAGTACACATTTTCATATTTTCCAAGTAATATTTTAACTGAATGACAACTGGTGTTTTCATACACCAAGTTATCATATGGGTTCAGAAGATAGAATTATATCATAAGTCATATGGACTACTTTTATTATGCTTGTATGGTGCATTTTGTCCTTTTTAACACTCCTAGTCCCCATCCACTTTCACTGTATTAAAGAGAGCACCTCTGATACTCATATCTTTTTGCCATTTTTTGGAATTGCCTTTTTTAAATGTGTCCAAATGGGATCACAACCCTTTTTCTGCTGAAAAACCTTTCCAGAAGAGTGAAAGCTCTTATATAGGTAAGGTAAGGGATGCCTCTTCTCCATGTGAATGGTTTTGAAATCATATTTGTTTGGCCATGTAGTGTAGATGGATACAGAGAGATAGACAAAGTGTTTTTGTATAAGCTTGTAGTGTGCTGTAAATTTTAAACTCAAGTATGACTTTGTCATATTGTCAGGTAGTCCCAGAGAAGCAATGTAAAAGCAAAGTTTTCTTTCTCTCTCTCTCTGTGCATAAAAATACACTGTCTGATGCTTTTTTGTCTTATTGTGTAGAATTTTCTCTTGGTGTCAACACATCTAACAGAATCAGAGTTTTTATGCCATTCAGCCCACAGCCATGCTCTCTGTCTTATTGAGTACTGCACTCAGTTCTTATTGGGCTAGACTTGCTGTGCTCAGCTCTCATTGGTTCTTGTAGGGCCAGACTCTCATTAGGTCTTGCTTCCACATCCAGTCCTCAGTCAACAGAGTGAGGGAGAGAGAGGAATAAGGAGAGCAAAACGGTGGCTCAGAGTCGTGCCAGTGCAATAATCCACTGTCAGCTTTGCTCTAGCATGGTGACAGCATATTACATACTGAATGAGAGATGTGCCACATATCAAACACTGTAAGTTGAAATTGGATATGACGACAGCAGACTGAATTTGGGCTGTTTTCAGGAACTGACTGCCAACAGCTTCGAAGTCGATCCCTCTTTTCTGAAACATATTATGAATGTGTGCTTACCTCATTTGCGTACACCCAGTGACTATCTTTGGATGCTAGATTCGTTTCCACTGCCTGCAGAAAAAAAAGACAAAAGAATGCAGAAAAATTACTGTGATGAAAATAAACAAATCTTCTTGGTCTGCATACAAAAAATTATAAGCTCAATCATGGCGCACAGAGAGCCAAGGACACTCTTTTAAAAAAGTACTTTTGTGAAACAAAGAAACATTAAAAGTTGATTTTCAACTTTTCAGAAGACATTTTGAGTTCTTCAAAAATTAGAATTTCTGCTTCCTGTAGCAACGTAAAAAGATAACTTTGCATCTGTCAGAGTCACACTTCTTGCATCTTTGCTGATACCAAAATAGAGAACAAAGTGCAGCACAAATGGGGTCGGTGGAAACGATTGACTTTAAACACATTTATGGAATAATGCAATCTTAAAAGGATAGTTCATCTTTTGACAATTCCGCCATCATTTACTCGCCCTGTATTTCTTTCTTCTGAAGATAACAAAGGAGGTTATCTTGAAGAACTTTGGTAACCCAAACTGTTTTTGGGTACTGTTTTTGGGAACTTTGGTAACCCAAACTGTTACCATTGACTATATCTACTGTATGAACAAAAAACACTGAGAATTTTTTTTCCAAATACCTTCTTTTATGTTCCACAGAAGAAAAAAATAGAAACGACATGTGGATGAGTAAATGATGACAAAATATTTGTTTTTGGGTGAACTATCCCTTTCGGTTGCAGGGACAGTACATAGTACAGAATTCCTAAGAAATGCAGTCCTGTGGGTAGAAATGCAATGAAATCACAACCTGTCAATGAAATGGAATAGCAATTGTTGGATATCTGGTTGTGAATCTTGACAGTGGCCACAGTGGAACATCTACATTATGTGAGATAGGAACACCTGCAGAGGGACAGACTGGCTTTCATGTTTAGGGAGTAGATATTGGACTAACCGCAGGCAGTAATGAAGCGATAAGACCACATTGCAGGAGACTGATCAAAAACGTTCCTTATCAAACATCCTGTCCAGGTTCAATATAGGTGCATTCTATACAGAAAGAGATAGTGGGAGTGTATTTCTATGTCAGACACAAATAGATGAAACACAAAAAAACTAATTTTCCTGCTCAAGCTGCATTTCAAAGTACACATCGGATGCTGGAAAAGATAAAAAAAAAACAGCTGGAGGTTGGAACGCCGCTTGCATGCATGCTTCAAAACAATAGAGAGTGTCTTGGTGGTTCTTTACATCAACATGAAAAAAATATTGATCCGAGTTCTTCTACTGAATTGCACTCGGATGTGCAGCACAGCACATGCACCACATGTGCTTCAGTCCAAGGGAGTGAATCACAGTCTTGCACTATGCTGGAAAGAGCAAGTGCATTGAAACAAGTGCAAGTGCATTGCTTTTCAATCTATGCTTCCTGTTGTGCAACCAGTCAAACCCAGACCATAACATCATATTATGAATTTATATATGTTAGTACAGGGTAATCCCCAAAGTCATAACCAAATTCCCTTGCTTTCTGCAGTACGTTATATTGCAACTCTTTCTCTCTTGCTTGCAATAGATCAGAACAACAGGAGTTTCCATGACTGCAATCCTGTTCTACAACGACAAGGAAGAAAAGGGAGCCTCGCTGACTTATTCAACTGAAACTCCTGATTTCATGAAGAAGACAGCTTTTGATCCCTTCATTCTTCATCTCAACCTTCAAAGCATTTTTATGCCTTTTTGTACTGTGACATCTTTTCCACTGCAAAAACTGTGACGTTATTAAGCAGAAACTGGGATCGCTTCCTTCACCACCATCACTTTATACCATGAATCAAGGAGAGAACATACAGTAGCACATGATCCAACTTCAATGGTAAATGAATTGAAAATGTGAGGCAAAGTAGGTTAGAAAAAGGAGGTTTACATGGGGTGCACAACAGCTTTTGAATAATACAACTATCTTTTTATTTAGCTTTATTAAGCAACATGTAGACTTATAAAAATAACATTACTGTTCTACAAAATTAGAGACAGCATCACTTAAGGAACGACAATCAAGACGTAATAACTGCAAGTGTACTACCCAGTCAACAATTTGATCCTGAGGATCACAGTATGAGGATCGATTGAACTCACAATGAGCTCACCTATTACTCACACTGTGAGGATCACAGTATGAAGATCGTTTGAGTTCATAATGAGCTCATATTCTACTCACACTGTGAGGATCACAGTATGAGGATCGTTTGAGTTCATAATGAGCTCACCTATTACTCACACTGTGAGGATCGCAGTATGAGGATCGTTTGAGTTCATAATGAGCTCATGTATTACTCACACTGTGAGGATCACAGTATGAGGATAGTTTGAGTTCATAATGAGCTCACCTATTACTCACACTGTGAGGATCACAGTATGAGTATAGTTTGAGTTCACAATGAGCTCACCTATTACTCACACTCTGAGTTCTGTTATTTGACTGTCAATTTATATTTTTTTCACTACAGCAAGACTGTTTTGAAGCTGAGCTGGTGAAAACTGCTGTTTGTTTGCTGTTGCTAGACTACCACATTAAGGAAAGTGTAAAATGCATCCCAATTTAACTTCATTAACAGTGTAAATGTTTTAAGATGGAACTGAATTTTAGTTTTATTTAACGGACTGACAGTCCGCCTTCTAGCTCCAGTCTTTGGGTATGAGAAAAGAAAAGATGCGCCATTTCATGCTGATTCCATAAAAACACTTTTCACAATTCTAGAACTGCTTTGGAGTGTATCTGATTGCTGTTATTTCACATGTAAATGATAAAATCTACAAAACAGTACAGTTGTTCTTTCTTTTAAGTCTTTGCATTTAATTTTATTCAAAATTTAGAAACTATCAGCTATTCAAAATTTATTGAATTTATCAATAACTTTTTAACCCAACAGTTGGGTTAGTCCATATTTGACCCAACATTGGGTTGAAACAACCCAGCATTTTTTAGAGTGTAGATGCACAAGAACGTAATTACATAAGGGGGTCATTAAAATTAATAGTATTGATCTGTTTCAAAATTATTACTGACCTATTCTACCAAACTGTCTCTCTTGGTCAATTTGTGTTGTTGTCTTCAAACTAAAATCAATAGGACAGTCCACAGCATTTAATAGCTCACAAATTCCTGCTTTTTGTTAAGAGACTTCCAGAAATCGTGACCGTTATCTGGCTATATATAAGTGAAATTGTTGGTTGAAAGCAGTTGCATTTCTTCCAGCTTTTGAGCACTGATTGCAATGTCCCGTCTCCAGCTGTGGTGAACCTTGAACAAGACGAGCAGCAGCACTTTCTAAGCAGTGATTTTCTATAAAAAACCCATTCGTTTTCTTTCTATCATTTCATCACACATGCATCATACATGAGTCCTTGTAAAATGTTAAGAAATGCTAGCGGATCGATGCATTGCCTTGATAAAGAAAAACATCTAGCCTTTTCTGTGCCCCATTATCATTTAACAATTAATGGAGCTCAGATAGCATAGTGTTCCCAAGGTCATGGATTTGATCGCCAGGACTGATAAAATGCATCTATGCATCTTCCAAATACATAAATGCAACAATAAAAAAATTATCATTCACAAGGTTCTCCTCAAATATATGTCTTTCTGTAAACTTTGCACAGTTGTTTTCATTAACATTACATGCACTCCCAGGTCTGCTACGGCCTGCCCTCTGTACCTGTTTGCCTCAATAATGCGTGCCCACTGCAAAGGTGGGCAAAGCTGCCAAATCAAGGGCTGATGAGAACTGAGCTGGGATTTGAGCTGTCCATCAAAATATGGATGTGTGTACACAAATAAAGACCTGTGGCAAAGGAAAAAATAAATATGTTCTTGGTGAGTGGAAGCACGTATATATATCGCTCTCAGATGGCAATAACAAAACATTTCAAAACACCTCCATAATTCAATTCTCACTGGCAGAAGAAGCATAAAGGAATAAATGCATCAGTTGAAGTGGATGCACACTTTGAAATGAAATCCAGTCTGCTATCTGCAGTGTTTCTTTCCTGATTCGCCTCATCACATAACCTGCCTGTTTCGGAAAGGGGGGAAAAAAAACCCTGTCTGTTTCAGTTCTGCATTGATTTAATTGATTTTCTTACTGCTGCAGCTTGCAAGAAAGTGCAAATATTGTGTTCTGGTAAAAATATGAACAACACTAAAAAGGACAAACATGAGCCTAAACATGTCAGTTGCACCAGCAACGTTCTCCCTCTGCTTTTTCATAATGAATAATGATTCTGAAGTTCAGAATTAAACAGCTCGTGAAAAAGGCTGTGCCCTTGAAAGATGCTGTGCAAAGATCAGTTCTCACTTTCTCAGCTGTAGGTTCAAAAAGGCATAAAGAAAATAAAAAATACTCGGTTTTCCAGATGGGAAAATCTCATGGTCAATTTGAGGAGGAATAGGTCTTATGAAAGTTTGATGTCTAAACTCACATTCACTCAGGGTCAACAGCCTTACACAGGAGAAAGATGCTTCGCTTGAAACATGCTTCCTCTCAAAAGAAGGCTTATGGCCTGACCAAATATAATCCAGGGACGCCAAATGATATCATAAGAGAGCAACAACACGGATGAATTTGTTCATTACACCCCACCCCACGAAACCAGACAAAAACATGTGTACGAGGTGAAACTAGAGTGCTAGGGATGGAATGCAGTATCATTTGGGATGAAATATTGTTCAACACAGTGAGACTCTCAGTGATTGGTCAACAGGGAGCTATAGTGAGTTCTGATTGGCCCTTTCATTGGTTTAGGAGAATGGAGAGAAATGCACACAGGTACAAACACGTCTTCTTTATTGCTGCGAGTGCAAGGTGAATGCATTAACATCAGTTCCCCCACGACTCAGAAACATTTGTCTTCAGAATAATGCCTGACAAAGATTGCACAACTGAAATAAAATCAATATGCGCTACTCACAAAAGCGCATTTGCCAATTTTCGGCCAGGAGGAATGCTTGCACCGGTCATGTTCGCCTCAGAGATGCATGCTAACAAAGAAAGCA